CCCCGTTTTCAGGACCTTCAATGTTTCCTTTTCCATTTCTGCCCTTCAACCCTTTGGGTAGTAACGGCTACATCAACACGCAGCAGTACAACAGCAGCACGACTTTCCCCGTGGTCCACACCGCTTACAACAGCGGTATAGCACCGGACTCCGTAATGACCGGGCAGTCGACGTTTGCCGTACCGCCAATGCAGAACTTTATGGCAGGGACAGCAGGGGTGTATCAGGCACAGGGAATGATGGGAAACAGCAATGGTTCAAGTCACAAAAAAAATGGGAATCTCTCCTGTTACAACTGCGGGGCCAGTGGTCACAGAGCTCAGGACTGCAAACAGCCTCCCATGGATTTCAATCGACAAGGTAAAAAGCAGGCGGAGGGACCGAGGCAGGACGTGGCTTACACGCAGCACGTTGCCTTTAGCCAGGGGGAACGGCTGCACCCCCAGGGCAGGAGGGGGTCTGATGGCAGTGCCCTCGCTTTTAATTTCTGACTTGCAAAAAAAAAAAAACCACCTCATTCTTGGAAGCTGGTGGTTTTGAGCTGTATTTGCAAAAGATGAAACTTAGTTTTGTGCAGACCCAACACGAGGACAGGGCCCAAGTGAGGCCCTGGGCCAGACCCGGGTGCTCGGCGGGGCTTGTGCCGGTTTCTGGGAAGGGGCGAAGCACACAGGGAGGGAGAGAGGGAGAGAGGAAGCTTCTGTGGACGGGTTACAGCAGAATTGTTGTTGCTGCTTATACCTTGTCATCCAGGTCATCTTTGGTTATAATTGCACGTTCCCCTGGAAGTTTACAAACCGAACATCTCTGTTCCCCCTTTCCCTTCCTCCCCTAAATCATAACCTAAATGAAGAATTACCGTTCAAATGCTCTTGAAGGTTTGCTGCTGTAATTATTTTGTAGGGCATGTTGCTCACACAGTTACAGCACAGGCTGAACTCCCAGGAGGGAGCTGAAATCCCTAATTCCGGGTGGGAAACAACTCAGAAATGTTACTTTACCAATAGCACTTTCTAGTCCCGTTTTTCTTTTTTATTTTGATTGACCTACTGCGTTGAGATAATTTGCCTGTGGTCTGGCCTTAAAAAATGAAATGCAAACTTTTGACTGGAGCGAACAGCACTGAGGTGTTCGGTTTTACATTGTGTCTTGTCTACAGCCTATGTCTGTATTTGTTTTTATACGGTGCAGACCAGGTCTCAAGTGTTTGAACACTAGAGTTTAACAAGTGACTGGTTTTGAGGCAGCAATTGACAGCAGTGCTAAAATGTAAATCATCAGTGGAGTTTCTGTGGCTAATATTTTGGTAGTGGTCAGTGGAGAAGAAGTGACACTGCCTCATCAGTCCTAATTCGGAGGACTTCAGAAACATAGTCTGCTGCCTTTTTAAGCTGAATTTCATTTCATTAATGAAATTTCCATTTAAACGACCCCTAACGAATTTTTGCCAGCCCTAAAGCTACATCTAAGCCGGTGACTTTTACTGTGTAAAACCATGCGTTGATTTTCAGTTCCACCAGCTGCAGACCCACGCCTGTCAGCCTCTTCTGCAGCTTCACCGCGGCGCTGCAAGCTGGCGTTACGCTGCAAAACTGCGTTCGGTGTCTAATAAGCAGCAGGTTGTTTTAGAAAGTTCTAAGATGTGACGGATGTGAGAAGGTTGATGTTGTTTAATTCTTCTGTTTCCTCTCCCCCAGGTACGTTTAGGCTGAAATACGCACCTCCCTCTGAAAGTCTTGACTCCACAGACTGATATTTTATCATCTGGCGAGAAAATACTGTAAGCCATGGAGATATAAGGAGATTGAAATACAAAACTGAGACGTCCAGTTGCTGTTAAGCTTAATGTATTTTTTAATCCAAAGGTGCTTTACTTTATTAGACTAGGTAGAAAATCTAGCTTAGGGGTGCATCAAACCCATTTTTGATTGCCAAATTCAAGCTTGGATCTTGTTGTTGGAACTTCTGACTCCGTGTCGTAGGACCGATGTGTGCTGGATGGATGGTGGAGCTGGCCGGCTGCATTTTCTGTTGCAAGTACAACATCCGACGTACTTTTTTTGCTGGCGAATGTTGCCATACGTGGACTTTCTAAGGTGAAACGTCTAACTCCAGGGCAGCTACATTCTGAAGGGGAAGCTGGAGGCTGAAGGTAGGAGTGGCCATTCGCCAGAAGGACTTTGGCACCCCTGGGCTAGGTAAAATGTCTACTTTTTTTCAAAAGTGATCAGGCACTAATCTCTGGGATTTTTAAGGATTGCACTACAGAAGAATGTAAAACTCTTCAAGCTTTCTGCACTTTTAGCAGACAGTGTCACTCTGAGACCAGTGCAAGAGGCAAAGAAGTTCCAACTTTTAAAAATTGGCACCAGCAGGCTATGTGAATTAACTACACAATAAAAATCTTAAGTCAGTCTCTCCTTTCCCTTCCAAAAGAACACACACGGCAGTTTCGGTTCCTTCTGGAAACAAACCTGTGCTTCGTTGTCTCACTTAAGACTAGCTAGTGCTGGGTTCCCAGCGGTGGAATAAACTTAGTTTCCAAGGGTCCAAGTCCCAGAGACTTCAGTCATAAAGGCTTCAAGGATATTTTCCTGTAATACAGAAAACAACCTTTACGTCCTGTTACTGTATATAGGTCTCTTTCACAGAAACCTTATTATTCTGCTTTTGTAAATGAATTTTAAACCATCCTAAAAAAAAAAAAAAAAAAAAAAGAACAAAACTCTGGAGGCAGAGTTTGTAAGCTTTTGCTTTACTTTATATAAAAAAACCCCTTTGACTCCTACCCCAAGGCTTTTGCTACAGGATTCAGAAGTGGTAGAAGTCAAACATGTAAAAGGTAGTAAACTTCATTATTATCAAGACTTTGAAGGATTTATTGTCAGCCTCCTTCGTTGCAGTAGATTGTAGATGACTAGCTTTGGTGTTAACTACTTAGCGTACATAATTTGTGGGTGACAAATCTAAATTAGGACTTGAGAGGAAGCCAAACAAATCTTGAACTGCTAATTTGAAACAGTTTGGTCCTGTCTGGTTTAAAGAAGATACTAATCCTCACGGCTCACCCAAGGAATTTGATGGCACTAAATGGGTGAGGCCTTCTCTTTAAAATGTCTGACATAGAGATCTTTGCATACTGCAATTTGGAAGACACCTTTAAAGTCTGAAGCCTTGTTTACACTTGGAGGTATTTCTTACACCAATTTAAACCACACCAGGATGAATAGTCTGTGTAGTGGCGCAGCTGACTTTCGCTTGGAAGCGAGGGAAGTCAGATCCGAGGTTTTGAAGAAGGAGGTTTTGAAGTGGTGCAGAGCTGCCCCGAGGAGATCGGGCCTCAGCAATGAAACGTCAGCGTGAGGGGGTGATGTGGTAGCTTTGACAGTCGAGACCTTCCTGGACCGTGTTCATAGGAAAGAAATGTTCTGGGCTCTCCTTCCGTCCCGCCGTCTCAGAGGGCGGTCGGCAGCCTCGCCGGGGAGGCAAGCGGGATAAATGAGCAGCACCGGGGAGGGACGGTACCGTGAGATGGCCAGCAACCAAACTCAGTCCAGGTAGCGATCTGCAGCTCAGAGCGGATTTGGCTCAGTGGAAACCAAAATCTAAATTTGCATAGTGTTTGGTTTCAAAAAAAAAAAGAAAAATTTTTTTATTCCTATGCAATGAAAAAAAAAAATAATATTCAGATTTGTGTGTTCTCAGCCCAGCTCACACTCCCCGCAGTATTGCACACACTCTCAAAACGCTTCTGTTCGCTCTGCCTGCGTTTGAGGAGCTTACCGGTATTGTAACGCCCAACCTTCAGACCTACAACACTAACGTGATGACAACTGACAATGCAATTTACTTTGCCTTAATGAGCTTGAGACAATGGTAGGAACAATCTGTCATACTGTATTACGCTGAAGGAAGCGCGCAGTTTTCAGTGACGATGTTTACTATTCACAGCTTTGAGGGTCTCTCCAGTGGCCTGGAACATGTGCTGAAAGCCAAACCTTAACTTTTTTTTTTTTCCTCCACTTTTTTTAAACAATATTTTAAAACTGAATTGTATTTAAATAAACTGTATTTCAACACACACACAAGTGTTAAAAACCCTCTCAAAATAGCGAAAATCAACAGCAAAAAAAAAATTTCTGTACCAGTCGCATTTTGTTTTAATGCCCAAGGCTGGGCCCAGAGTCTCGTCTGATCTTCATCACAGAGTCGGAACCGTAACAAAAGGACTGTAAACCAGAATTTCTGTCCAGCAGACTGTTTCATTCCTTTCTTCAGAGCTTTCTTTGGGATTGTTTCCTTTGTGTAAAGTTAAGGCTGATGTTTCTTAAAGTGGCTTATGTGTACTTTTAGGTAACAGTTTTAAATGGTGAAGTCTGGTTTTAGAGTAAGTTCAAATTCAGAAGTCTTTGAGTACCTTAAAGCAACACGAGTGTCATTAATAGAGAACTGTTTGATGAGCCAGCAGCAATTGCAGAGCCTTCCCTAAATCAGAGCGAGTTGTGGCTTCAGATCTGCTAGTGAACGCTGCCCACTTTGTACCAAGAACAACCAAAGTTGGTAAGTCCGAACAGAGCACTTTAGTTCCGTAAAATAATCCTTAATCCGTTTTTAAAAGGCACAAATCCATCTTTTTACCCCCGAAACGTAAGGCAGCTTGTTTTAGAATAGTAGTTCCAGCTTCACTGGCTGAAAAAACCTGTTCTTAAAACCTATTTTTATACATTGAAAGATGGAGATTTCAAAGAATGCTATTTATTCCTATCTTTGTCCTAAAAGTATAAAAAGAATTCGTTCTCAAAATGGATTTCACTGTGGAATAGAAATGATTTTTAAGTGTAAGACGGGAGGGAATCCCAAGTCATCTCCCTGCAGGGGCACGGAGAAGTTAGCGATGAGTCTTCCCTCGGGGGAGTGAGCGACGTGCGGTGCAGTTTCAGAAGTGTTTTCCATTTGGGAGTGTTGGCGATGGAAATACTCGAAATAGGATGGAATTTCCAGCAAACTCCTCCTCACACTGGCAGTCTGCAAATTAAGCATTAATAAATATGCCAGGCTCGACGCTAAACAGCAGGAGAGCGAAGAGGGAAGCCTCATTTTAGCAAGCGAGGTATTGATCAGAGAGTTCCACAATACTTTTCCGTAAAACAGCATGTCACACTCCACTTTATCTGAAAGTTTTCCATACCACTGTCAGTAAATCTTGGCAAATTAAGCGCCAGACTTCCGAAAATAACGGTCTCACACTGGACCTTTACCATTACCCAAAATTCTGTTTCATGCTATTTCTCGCTGGGGGTGAAGGTACTCAAAAATTAAATGTGGTCTGTGGAATTTGGCAGAGTGACACTCCTCCCCAAAATAAAAATGATATCATCGGAAAGCCCTGCATAGGGGTTAGCCGTCTGTTTGTTTACTGGAGGTCACGGACACCGGGAGCTGTGGATTCGGGGCAGTCCAGAACGCTGTTAGAGGAGGTGGAGGTGGGCAAATCTGGACAGAAACCCACGTAACTGAGCACCTGCAAGAGCCTGGAAAAGGCTTGCGCTGGTCGAGGCCCCCCCCTGCCCCCTCCCCGTGACATCTCGTGTAATAAACCCTTGGAACTACCCGTTCACGCTCTTACACTTTTCTTAACGTAAGCAAGAAACGCGTTGGTACTGAAGCAGAAAGCAAATCCTGTGTGTTTTCAAGTGCAGATTAACAGCTTCTCTTGGACATAACTTTCCACTAGGAATTGAAGGAAACTCCTGCTCCCGTTTGAGCCATTTCTTTTACTTCAGTCAATTCTAGTATTACAAATTGTGCATGTAACTTTATAAATATTTTAAATAGTTTTGTAAATATTTAATATTCAGCTAATTTGATTTTGAATTGTAAATGTCAAGTATTCTGGTATTGGGATTTTTATGTTTTATTATACTTTGTTAAAAGTAAAATTGTACATTTTTAGAATGTTTTTATCTGAGTAAATTTAATGTATGGAAAATAAAGAGTTAAACAGAATCCCTCTGCATTTCTTTTAATTTAAAGGGGCTTCTTCTGGGGCGGGGTGGCGCTTCTCCAGCTTGGCAGTTACCAGGGACTTTTTTTTTTAATTCTTTTTCTGTTTCTCCACCCACAGACATTTAAGTGCTCGTGAATCAGGGATCTATTACAGCGCTTGTGATTGCTCTCCTCTCGTGGACTCGGCTCCCGCCTGAGCCAAGGAAGCCGAGCTGCTCTGAGAGGGTTTGCGTTTGCTCTTTGTCACCGAGAGCTGCCCACCCGATCCCCTACCCCATTTCACAGGGAAGGAGGAGCCGGGAAGCTCTGTGCCCTGTTCTGCAGGAAGGCAGCGGCTGAGCCTCCAGGCTCCGCTTGGCCACCTCGGCTCGCCCCTCACGCAGGCTACCTCAGCAGTCGAAGCCACAGGTCAGGGAAGCAAAAGGAATCTTTAAACCTTTTGTGGCCGGTGCCTGGGGTCATCCCCGACGAGCAGAGTCCTCCTGGTGAGAGCACCGGGATTCTGAAGCCACGAGGGAGAGGCTGGTTGAGCTGGAGCAGAGACACAATGGGGATATGGAAGCCCATCCGCGGGCGAGCGCGCCCCGGTCCATACCCGCCTACGGAACGGTTCTACAGGGCGGTGACACCCGAAAATTCCTCCTTCCGGAGAGTGGTAGCTTCCTCGCCCAGTTGTTAACGATGATCAGTATCACAGGGTTCAGTACAAGCGCCTCGCCACCGGCAGCAGGACCTGGTTCGCCCCTTGTGTGTCCCAAAGCGGGTGGAACAGACCCCTCCGTGCCCTTCCCCACAGAGGTTCGATTTAAGCAAGCTGTCTAGAAATAACCACGCAAGCCATAATTAAGTTGGGATGTAATCCATCCATATCAGCACTGTATTAATTTTAAAAAAGCAACATTTGTACAGGAATATCAGTCAATCACATCGTAATTACAAGTATGGTTGTCAGTTATGAGTTAAACAATTTCTTACACGAACAAAACTAAACATAGAACAAGCTGCATTGAAAAGTTTACGTTGGAGTAAAAACACAACAATAAAAAAATCTGAAGTAAGCATTGTGAACGAGATGCATGCAAAGAGGTGTAGGTAGGTACAAACGGTACACCTCGTTGAGCTAGAGTGCCAAGACGCAGTAGTATTGCTTCTTTTTCCCCCCGTTATAGTTAAGTTAGCTTCCAGTAAGAGATGTAGTTAGGTCACAGACACATAATATACAAGAGTAATCTCATCCTGCTACGCTTCACTTGACAACGACTCTAGAGGAAAAACACAGGTCCTACGATACCTTTCCTCAGCACAGGCTGCCTCCCTGCTCAGGACAGTAGTAACGCCAAGATCTGCCAAACCCCGTGCGAGTGGCAGGAGACTTCAGTGATGGAAATAAAAGAAAAAATAAAATAATTTGTTCATCAACTCTCGACAGCAACTCCTGGACGTGAGCTGCTTGTAAAAGCAGTTCTCCCTGACCTCCCCCCTACCCCGGCGGTAACATGCAAAACAAGTGACAGACGGGTTAGGCAGCGTGGGTCGGTAATTCCTGCGGCACATCCCGAGGCCAGCGCTCGGTACGGAGGTGCGTACAACAAAGCCGTTCGCCCGCTTGCGTCGCAGGGCTTGAAGGCGGCCGCCCTGCCGAGCAGATGGAGACGGCGAGGACGGGCGGCACTCCCAACATGGGGAGCGATACGGGCACCGCTCGTGTCTCGGATTGCACTGTCCGGCTCCGCGGCCGGAGGCACGCAGCCCCGGGACCCTCCACTACCTTCTCCCAGCAGACTCTCTGCCGGGCACGGGAACGGCAAACCTCCGGGCTAGGGGGGATGAGCTTTTGGAAACGAGCTCATATGGACAACGGTGTTTCACTGAACACACAGGGATTGGAAATTCGTAACAGACTGGAGTTTATTTCAAGGTTACCTGTCCAGGTGTGTATTTTACAGTTAAACACTTCCTAAAACTACAATAAAGCTGTGGTGTTTGGTATGAGTATTTCAGAAACTGGCACTGCTCCTAAGGTTGTGGTGCCTCAAAAACCGGAGACAGAAAGAGTTGTACTCCCCCGGCTCACCCCCAGCGCTTGCCGTAACTCACTGCAGCACTGGCACGAGTCTGACCAAGCTGCAGAAGACCAAGCTCCGCTTTGGAACATTAAAACATACTTGCTCTCATGAGAAGCTTTCCCATTTAAAAAAAAAGGAAAAAAAAAAAGCTTTAAGGTATCATAGGGAGATTTTCCAGAAAACTGTCACGCAAAACACTTCAGCTCCTCCCTGGTGCCTGTTTGTTTGTTAGAAGTCAACCAAGTGTCCCTTTATTTGTAACTGTCACATGCACAACTGGGTTCCGTTCACAAAGTCCAGAAATGTAAATGTGCCTGTGTGGAATATTACAGCAGGTTTCAAAGCTGGAGGTGCTCGTCTGTACTGTTTAATAGTCACAAACAAGGCAAGGTAAGATGAGACACCTGCTAAAGCAAGACTATGCTAAGGTACTGAGAGCGTAGGTGACATCCGTTTCTTTCCCTGGGGTGCGTGTGGGGAAGAGTGGGGGTGATGGCCAAGGGTAACCCAAAATCCTAGGCTAGAAGCCGCTTGCGTGTCTTAGACGGAAGATCGCACTCCGAAAGTCTCCTGAGAGGCGTACACCATGTACAGGAACCCATCCTCGTCCTTCTCGCTCTCGTACACCTCGGATATGGGTGTGGAAACGCTCACCATGCTGTGTCCGTTCACCAGGAGGAAGAAGGCCTGGTTGGAGTTCAGCTGCAGGCGTCGCCTGTTGGGGAGAGGTTGGGGGAGCGGAGGGGGGGAAGGAGTTTGACAGTGATGAACTACGCATTTCCACTCACGTTAACGAAGGCTTTAGGACAGATGGCAAACCAGAAGTCCTCCACCACCGACAGCAGTACGATGTGCCCACCCAAAGCAGCCCTGCCACTGGAGAAGGCATTTCCTTCCCACCCCAAAGTTCATCTACTAGGTCCAGTCAGATACACCCACTGACAGAAGCCCTTCCTTCGCTGGGAAAGCTACGCTCCGGAAGGGCGTTAAACTGAAGCGAAAAGGAAGAGGTACTTCTTGCCAGTACCTTATGCTTCTCACTGGAAATGTAAAACTCTCTCTGATCTGGAGAGATCCGTGTGAAGACGGGGAGGGAGGATGGGCAGAGCTCCCACGCGAAGGCCCTGGACCTTTTAAACTCACTTTGTCACCAGCTCTGTAACAGCCTGCGTTTAACCTTTGGAGCACCTTTCCCCCTCTTCGCCTCTCTCCCAGGAGAAGCACCATGAGAAGGGCAGAGCGCGACAGACTTCCCACACTGACAGTAAACATCTAACTTTGGGGTTTCCCTCGGATCGTTCGTTCCGGCTGGGGGGAAATAGGTCTTTCTGCTAACCTGCCTACTGGAAAGTGGGTTTGCAGAGAGGAGATCACTTACTACTTCATAAACCGACTAAGCAACAGGCACTCAGGTATTTGGAGATGCAATCAAAGAAAGAAGGAAGGAACAACAGATCAGAAGAGCTTCCTGCCGCTTCTGCTCGCTGCTGAGGGGCAGCAGTGGCTGGAAACAAGGATTTATTTAGCCTCCCAGCCACGGCTCTGGAAAGGGACCCTTCCAAAACCAAGCTCTAATCGCTCCACAGACAGCAGGCTGAGGGAAGGCAGCAGCTATCTGAGGGCTGGGAAGGACAGGCTTTGCTATGCACAAGAGGAACTGGCTGAGGACCAAGTCCAGCTGGTACCAAGTCATCTATTAACAATAAAGCTGGAGAAAAAAGGTGGGAAAAAAATCCTTCAGCTTGCTGTTAACCTTTTTGCCCAGGGCCTTTAATGTTCATGAGAAATTCTGGAAGACTTGAGCAATCTGGTTCCTGCTTCCAAAACCGTATCCCACTTTCTTACTCATGTAAGAGCTGGAATTTGCTTGCGACAGAGTTTTTGAACAAGCCTCGGAGGCAGGGAATTGTTTGGACACGCGGGACAACTCTCAGTTTTTACAGCTTGTGGCCTCCACGAACCACAGCTCCCTGCTACACTGCAACCAACAAAACCCAAACTCTGGCTTGCTAGTAACTTCCAAGTTTACCACTTGAGAACTCTCACTAATCACATACTCTTTCTAAGCCAGGGGAAATGCACTTCTAGCAGAATTTCTGACCACAGTTTTAGACCACACAACTTCCACTCCACGGCTATTTCCCCTTTGCCTTTTCTTGTAAGCAAAGCTCAAGCACCAGACCGGAGCAGTACTCAAGCCACGGTCTGCGCAAACAGCTGGGACAAAAAGACACCGGTCTGAACGTGGGTTTTTTTCAGGCCTCAATGCTGTCATTGAGGGAAACCCCATTTCACGATCAAAGGATGCCAACATCAACCCCAAGCAACAGCTCAGAGCTCTGGCTATGAGCCCAAACTCCCCCTCCAGTGAGTGGGAAGAGGCAGGCACTCCGGAGAGGGACTCCCAGGCAGAACACCGAGAAGGCATCCTAAAAATCGCCAAGCAGGAAGCGCTGGAGCCCTGGGTCAGAAACACCCATGTTAGACAGGGATTCACGGCACCAGTCTGCCTCCTTACATCTCTGGGAACCAGTTATTTCTCTTGAAAGCAGACTAACAGTTCAGCTTTTTTCGGAGTTTTTCTTCCCAGCAAAGCCAAAGGAAAAGTAGCCTCTCATGAATTTGTCCTAGTGATGATACCAAGCGCTCATTAGATGAATTTTCCATTTAAAGAGCTCCCAAATGCATACACCAGGTGGGGAATTAACAAATAATGATAATCTTAGGTTGATGTAGCTTACACTGAAAACACAGCATACTACCTGATAATTTTGATTAGCTCGCTCATGTTGACGTGATCTGGCACCAAGAACTTGGTCTTATCCAAAACTGGAAGCTGCTTCTCTCCCTTGTACCTTTCAATGATCACCTAAGAAGAAACACAAAAAGAAAGGAGCAGAAGATGTGAAAGAAACGGTGTCTGGTGCCCTCATCTCCCCCCTCCATTTTAAACACAGCAAAGTACAAGCATTTATGCTAAACTCCATTCCCCTTCAGTTGTGAATGCAGCATCTTGAATCTGAAGGGGAACAATTATAATTATCTTCATGTGCTCCTCTTGTTCTGCTTGCAAGAGTCACTGTACGAAGGGGTAACAAACAGGGATTTAACAGCACACATCCACAGCTTCAGTGCACTTTTTGAACTGTTCACTTGCTGGAATCATTTAATCCAGCACTGAATTACCCAGCAACAAGGAAATCCAAGAAAAGATAAAGCACACTTCCCTCTAACACATTACAGCAGCTGACTAGGGGCTTGGGCTGCTGCGGAAGTCTGCAAACTCAAGCAGTTTTCACTAGAATTTCTCCAGTTTCAGGCCCTCTCTTTCTAGGAACTACACCTCCAGATTAGTATGCTGATCCATTCACCTTCCATGGTTACTCTAATGCATGAGAGAAAGCTACTTTCGAAGGGTATAAAGCCTCAAAGGAGAGAATTTCCTCCTCCCTAAGCTCAAGACAGCATGCTTAGGAACCAGCAAATCTGTCAAGATTGTTATGTAGTAACTACTTAATTCATGAGGAAATTGCAGATTTGCCAATTTAAGTAGCACCCTGCCCAGCAACTGTATATAGTTCCTGCTTTTAAGAAATGATCTCAGAATTCGTGTGCTCCTGTTTCCACAGCCATGTGGGTTTTGTTGTTTTTAATTCAACGGTAGCTACGTGACACCATTCACTTGGATCATTTCCATGCTCACAGGGTCTGGCTGTGTCGATACTCAAAAGCTGCACAGGTGAAGAGACATTGAGCCAATTTAATTATACCAGAGAAAGACTTCCTTACACCAATTGAAATAAATGCTGGCTCATTCTGGAAAAAAAAAAAAAATTTAAAAGGCAGTCTATAACCAATAGATAATATTTCCAACAGCAAAATGAAGGATGTTGACAGCACAGGAGGGATTTACCATCTAGCGTGACGTTGCCGTCTTATTTCATCCAGAACTGCTAATGATAATAATGAGGCAGTGACTCAAGCTAGGACATGGACAGGCAACCACAGCAAGCCTGCACGCCTCTGCCATAGCTGGGAGTTTGCATCACTGCATCTTCAGCAAGTTGCTTAGGTGCCTCTGAATTTTTGCCAGTAATATGTCCACAGATGACTTAAAATGAGAGCTTTGCTATAAATCAATGGCTTTCAATCTGTGGTCACAGAGCTTGGGGCCTACGGCTAAGTGATCTGTGAAAGGTGGGTGAAAAGGCAATCTTCTGTCAGGAAACAGATTTGTTAGGAAAGGGCCTTTTGGGAAAACTGCACATTCCAGAAAAGTCATAAAATCTCTGCTATAAAATATTACTTGTTCCCATGCCCAACAGCACAGTAAAACTGCAGCAGCAGCCTCGAGACGAAGTACTTTAAACCTAAAGGAAAGCTGAAAACCTTTCGGTTTCTATTTGACATGGAGACAACAACTGCTTCTGTTAATGAACTTGCACTGCAACTGCAGTTTGCTCACAGAAGAATTTCCACTCACAGGAATCATCAGCTCTCATCGCTGAGAACCGAAGGCTGAGGCATCTAATTAAGTTCTCTCTTCTGCCCCACAAGATCTCCTAAGACCTTCCCTGTTCCACCAAACGGCCGTAAGGACGGCTGCATTTATTGCTTACTGCGGGGACAGCGGTCACGGAAAGCCCACCAGCTGTGAAGAACTCATCATCAATAGAACACGATCCACGCTTTTTGCTTTGCTTTGCATTTGTAACCTTGAGGATGCCATAAATAAAAGAAAATAAAAATTCAGGCAGCATTTGGAGCTGACTAGCTAAAGAAGAGTGACAAGGTGAGGGCTGATCTCCTCTTTTGAGGTGAGGTGGAGGGGTCTGACAGCAAAGCAGCATTTCTGGAGACCTCAAGCACAGGCCCATTTCCCGGAAGGCAAGCATTTCTGTCTTTCGCAGCACAGATTGATGATGACAGCCACATCTGTCTCTACGTTACTCTGTATTCTTCCTGGTCAGCCTCTGCAGACTCTTCTTTTGGAGAAGAAAAACACTGAGATGAGAAGAGCTGAACACTGAGGAGAATCTCAGAGCTCAGCCAGGGTGTGGTTTTCTTTGAAGTTACAACACGCAAGTGCAATACACAGGAAATCCCATTTCCTCCAGTCCCCAGCTAGCACCTTGCTCTACCACACTGACTGCTGGCCACTAGTTTGACAGCGTTTCTGAAATCCAGGCTTAAAGACCCTGAACGGCCAAATTTTAATTCGGTCTCATCAGGACAGCTCTTTTACAGGTTTCTAACTCCTAAAAAGAACATGAGACTGGAAATTGAAGTGAAAAATTAAAAGAACCGGACTTACTGGTATTTTAGTCGGATGCTGGTCTCGAATCAGTCGTACATCTTCCACTCTTTGCTCTGCAAGAGATATTAAAAAAAAAGAGTCTGTTCAAACATCCACACTTAATGCTGTTTATATCTTACTTCTCCACCACTGAAGAGAGGGACTGCATTCTGGTAAAAGCCACAAAAGCAAATTCAGGCAAAGCAGTTTTCAAATGGGACAGCACTGTCACAAGTAAAACCTCTCCTTTGACAGATGATACTTTGCTCTTTAACCCAAGGTGACAAGTGCTGCATGCACGCTGCCTGGGACTCCTAGAAAGTGTGAAAGGAGAGAGCTTCCTCCTCACACACACCTCGTTTTCTGCCCACTAAAGCAGACATCTAATCTCATAAATTTATGGCATCAAATTACACCACCCAAGTTAATGACTAAATATCCTGTACAATTTCTGTGAGATCCCAGAAAAGGAAGTCATCAACAATTATTTGAGACCTAAGACTAGCCGAAGCCTGGCAGCATCAGTTTACGCCGTGCATTCTAGTATTACCGAATTACAGTTTTCTCTTTTGATTATGCCGCACCCATTGTTGCAGAAGCGGTTGGTAGGTTCTTGTGTACCTAGACATTTCACTGCTCTCTGGGCCAGTTTGCAGAAGAAAGTTCACTTCTCCTCAGATATAAATACTAATAGCAGAGATATTATAAACCAGGCTAAAGTACATGTCCGAGGCAAAGTAAACAAGTGCAACTGCTTTTAGAGGCAGTCGTTATCTGCTTACACCCTACCTACTTTCAGATTCAGTGAACTCAATTTTAACCTCTTCAGTTCTTTTCAGCAGGTCGGGGCTTTCCAGGCCATCTCTATCTTATAAACACCTCTCAGAGAGAAGATTTAGCGTTGCATCACAGCTTTAACAGACACCTACCTAGGGAGAGGTACTGCTCACGGGGGACAAAAAGCTTAGATCAGCACCCATCAGCCCAACTCCTTGCTGGTATGCTAATGCACAGGACACACAAACTGTCCCATCACTCAGCAATAACATCACCCAGCTCTCCATTAGTCCATATTAAGTTTGTATGCATGAAATACATCCGTGCGCCTTTCTAGGAGCCCAGTAAGGAAATGCAACTCACGTGAATCACGGTTTTAAGCTGGAGGTGAATAAGCAGAACTAAGGCAAGGAGTATGCAAAGCCTTTACCTGACTGCAAGACCGAGAACCTGAAAGCCATCCTGCTTCGCATCCCACAGCCAGCCACACTCTTACAGACCAGCGTTAACACTTCAAGGGCAGAGATGACTAGCTAATTAAAATACTTTTTAAGATTAACCAGAAACACAAGAGATATGGTGAGTGAATCAGACGAACCGTCAACCTAGCAAGCACAGAGCGGTTTATCTAACTTTCCAACTGAAACGGGTTTGTTCACGGCAATGTTATTCAGCAGAACTCCCTGGAGTAGAAGGAACATAAACCGGACAAATCATTGAGATTATTGTATATGGCGTGTTCAAAATCAGGCTTCAGTCAGCCACAGATAAACACTGTTCTCTGACGACATTAGTTGCAGTGGCAACTGCTTGGCTGCCATCCTAGCTGAACTTAATACCTGCAACAGAGCTGCTGACAGGCGATGGGGTCAACAACAGTTTTGGAAGACTCCAAGAAAAGGGGTAGCTTAAACACAGACTTTCTTAGATCAAAACTGTCTATGCTTCAATGCGGAGAACAGCTTACATTTAGCGGAACAGCAAAGGCAAGGGTGGGCACACCAGAAAGCCCTCTTAAGCAGCTTGACTCTAACCCAAAGGCAGAAGGAAAAGAAAATCTGGATCAATTACTTCCACCAATTCCATTCTACGTACCGGATTTTATAGTTCACACAGAAATAGGTTACGCTGCCAGTTCTTGTTACCCTCAGAGCATTTCAGCCTACCTCACTGACACACACGAACAGATATTGAGCTCTTTGATTGCTTTAGTCCCATCCTAAGCACAAAAAGAAGTGTTGGCACTGCTCTATCAAGGCTGTTCCTTCTAGAAAGAGACTAATCTCATTTTCCCAGCCATCATTACACAGCTCTTTTCGATGCCTTGCTACTTTTCAATAACTAAACGGAGACAGGAGACATACTGCCCAGTCCACTCGCAGCTCCCTGGGTAGAGAATTCCTCACACCGTGCCAAGTACCGAACTGCAAGCGGACCTTAATTCTCCTGTCAATAGTGCAGACGAAGCCGGACACTGAGCAGACACGTCAGGAGGGAAGGGCAGGCCCAGCTCCTGGCACACAACGCAAAGTGATGTTTCCAGGCTCCTGGGAATTTTGCAGTCGATAATGGATGATGCGGAGAGGCCATCTCCCCACCC